CTTTCCCTATTAATACAAGTAATCAGTGCAGCCCCTTCCTCTTACACAACTGAGGTTTCTCAGTAGCCAAGAGCTGGATCCCATGCTCCCTTTCACTGCTGCGTTAGGCTTATCCCTAGTTACGACTTCAAAAGGGCAGCTAGCTCAGTCAGGTCTGAGTCTCTCTTCCCTGACTACAGGCTCTCTCTCAAGTTAAGAGATCAGGTCCTAACCCTCTCACTTCAAAACACTGAATTTTCTCTTGAGGCTCAGCCATGGTCTTGGTTCCTACTTCCCCTCTGAAAAGACAACTGCACACAGATATTCCCCGTGGGCTCACACTTATCCTCACAAGACATTTCCAACATCATTTCTGTAAAGGCTTGCCTGACATCTTCAGACAGTGCTAGTTTTTTGCTTTACGTGCTTTGGTAGTGCATTTACAGACCTTTCATAACACATCCACTATATTACAATTATGTGTCTGTGTGCTTGTCTTCCTTCTTAGAGAGGGACCAGGTTTTGTTCATCTTTGTCTGCCTGTCTCCCCACACTCCACCTCTGGCTCAGTGCAGAATACACTGCCTTATTTTCAATCATTTGTTGAATAAACAAATAACTGTATAGTTTAACTTTGTTAAGTATCTTTACATTTACACAGTAACTATTGACACTATCAAAAACCCACACTGATTTTTCAATTACCAATCTTCACACGAATACATACATTTTCATACATGCATACTGTATATATATGGATACATGAACATAAGCATACATGTATACCAATAACAATATATGGTTACCTCTAGCATAATAAAAATAATTATATAAATTTAAATACAAGGAAAATGGTTCATAATTTCTAATAAATTCCCAAGTGATACAGAATAGATATGAGAAGGCAGATAAGGAAAGTACTTGATTCATCCTCACGGCTAAATGCCATATTATGATGCTCTGGGCTGAGTTCTGTCTTGAATAGGTAGAAATGAGGAGTAAGTGGGGAAAATGAGGGCATAGTGTTTTAATCATAGAATTTAGTTCTTCTTTTCATCCCTCCTTCCTTCCCATTGTTTCTTCTATCCATCCATCCATCCCATACACAGCAACTCTGTAGCAGTAGTATATTAATATTGACAATTCAAATGGAAATATGGGGTTGTATCAAAGATTGACATTAAAATTGTGTTCATTAACAGTGAGAAGAAAATTATCACCTTCATTAATACATTGGGATTTTAGTTCTTACTTTTTTTTCAAAATACTGGCTATATTCCCCATGTTTTAGTTCTTACTTTTGATATACATACAAATATATTTCAAAGTAAGAAATAAAAAGAAAGTAGGTTTTTAAAAAAAAATTTATTTCTTTTAGGCTGTGTTGGGTCTTCATTGCTGCGTGCGGGGTTCTCTCTAGTTGTGGCAAGCTGGGGGGGGCCACTCTTTGTTGTGGTGTGCGAGCTTCTCACTGCGGTGACTTGTTGCACAGCATAGGTTCTAGGTGCGCAGGCTCAGTAGTTGTGGCTCGCGGGCTCTAGAGAGCAGGCTCAGCAGTTGTGGCTCACGGGCTTAGCTGCTCCACGGCATGTGGGATCTTCCTAGACCAGGGCTCAAACCCGTGTACCCTGCATTGGCAGGTGGATTCTTAGCCACTGCACCACCAGGGACACTGAGAAAGTAGGTTTTTTATTTGAGGACCTACAATTGTCCTCTTTTCTTAAAGAGTAGGCTGCAATTCTTTTTGTCAAGGCTCCTCAGGAAAAAACCCTCATTTTCTGATCTAAAAATTTGCATCTAGAGGTGAGTAGTCACACCCTAATTGATGTGAAAAGTAAACTGTAAAATGTTCTAGTCAAAAATTTAAAAGATTACTTCCACACAAAGACTGTTATACCAGTGTTTCCTACAAGATTTTCAAAATGTTAGTTGGAATTCAGGGCAAAATGTATCTCATAATAAACTTCTAGAACCACCCTAATTTGTCTAAATTATTTCATTATACAAGAGATTCTATCTGTGTTTTTGAAAAAAAAAAACTACACCTAATTATAATCAAATCATTTTGCATGCAAAAGTTTATTTTTTCTCCTCACAGTCTCTTTTTCTAACATAAAGTTTTGAATTAGACATTTAAAAGGGGATTCCTAATAATCAACTAGTTGTATGCTAACTGTGGAAGATCACTACTATGTCAAATATAACAGGAGAAATTATTAACTTTGTCCCCCCAAACACATTCTAACTGACAGGATCCAGTATGATTAACTGTCAATTGTTAACAAGTAGTTACCAGGTCTAAACTTATCTTTTAAGCGTGTCACATGGAAAACTATCTCTAAATAAAATAACTTTAATTTATATACAGTTTTAGAACGTGCAATGCATATTCATTCACATCATCACATTTAGTGCTTATCAGATAGGTATGATAAGGACATTTTCTATTTTAAAGAGAAGGAAAGATTTTGTATATAGTAGGTGACATTCTTTTTCCATTCAACTACTACAACCTCTAGTTATAACCTAAGAAAGGAATACATAAAAGTGAAATAGGATATTTAAAACTAAACAATAAATGAAAAATTAATTCCACTATATTTAACATTTATCAGTGCCTACTACTGTGTGTTCTGAGAGTTCAGATATGAAGACAAACACTGGAAGTAGTAACAACCAAAGCCTTTAAAATTGGAAGGATTTAGCAAAGTGGGGGTAAATGGGAAGGCAATCTAGCGAAAAGAAATCAAATAAGAAAGTTACGAAGCTGAGGTGAGGCAGAGCCTATGAAGAAAAAAATCAAAGAACATGCTTAAGCATCAAAATCAGATTAGTGAGTAGCTGATAACTGAGTAAGAAAGGTCAGTTCTTCCCCTTCTGTTCTCAAGGTACACACTCGTATGTTAGCACTTACAGTATTGCTGATTTGCCTCTCCATTCTTACAGAAGAACTTTTACAGAGCAGGGTGGCAGGTTGCAGAGTTCCACCCACATAATTATCCTCAACAAATGATTATCCAGTTCAATTGAACAGCTCATTTTGGCACTAGAGGGTTCTAATACACCTTCCCTGACATCCTTCTCTTCAACAGCATGATTAACTCCCATCACGTCATTGCCTCAGTCAGGTTGAGGTTTCTCTATCTACACAATGATGAGGTGAAAGATTCATTTTTCAGGTCTAAAGTACTAAGATAAATAAACCTTATGGTTATGTAGTGTAAAGCAGTACATTTCTTCTATGTTGTCCATAAAGAGTTCTGGGTGCTCCAGTACCTCAAGGTGTCCAATAAACAGGAAGAGTATTATTCTTTGGCCTTCTTTCTCTTATTGTGCTTTTTATTTTTTTTCTAATTTGGTTAGTCTAATAAGTATATTGCAAGTTTCCTATTATACTATAATTTCACCCTAGCATGGAAATGTTTTTCTTAAATAACCAAACAGTATTATTTCATAGAAGTAATACCTAAGGCACAGTTCATTCAATGAATTGTTTTGTGGTCACTGAAGCCAGAAGAAATACCTCCCATCTATGAACTTATTCTTCTGACTCTTATCCTCTACCATTTTGTGTCACAATTTTATGCAGATATGTCTTCCTTCCACCCTTCTGGAGACAGGAACTATGTTTCAACATCAGTGGTGCCCAGTAGAATGCTTTAGACATAATAGGTACTTGATATATATTTGCCAAATATATTATTATTATGTTTGATGATTATTAATGGAAAAGAAGTTAGAAGAAATGAGAGAAGCAAGAGTGGGTGAATATTGCACAGGGTAATGAAAAGGTCTTGGCTATGTTTCCCAAGAAAAATGTAATTTTCAGAAAATTCACCTGGAGTTGTCTTAACTTCTTAGAACATTCTTTCCCTCATTATTAATATGTACAAAGAAGTCACCTTTCAGTATTGAAAATATTAAAGCTGTCCATTTGATAAAAGATTCTAGTCTTTCATCAGATGAGGTTTCTGAAATCAAGCATAATTCTGACAACCTTTTCAAGAAGCTGAAGAGCTTAGGAAAAGCAAATAAAGTGCTCTCTTAGCATATGAGGGGAGTGATATAAATTAGAGTATGGAGAATAATGTTAACAAACTGAAGAAAGTTCCTATTTTTTGCTACATGAAGTTTAACAATTTATGGCAAATAAATCACACTATTCACCATAAAACAGAATTCATTTAAAAACAAAGTTTATATGTAAAAATAACCCCAAATAATTGAAGAGAAATATTTAGTATTACCATTCTAAGTTATTAAAGCCAAGAAAAAGGAAAAAGAGAACGGAGTTAATGGAACCCACAGGCTACTGATGTGGCAGTTTATCAAATGTAGCTGTAATGAAAGATAAATAACACAGGCAATTCACACTTCATGAAAGGATAAAAGTGTCAGTGTGTAGGTACCTGTTTTACTGCAGGCCATAATCAGCAAGTAAATGAAAGTGCAATGTCTAAAAAGTGTATAGGCTTCTATGAAGGCCTCGTCTTGTCATGTATTGATTTAGGTATTCAGACGACTTCACTGGTATTAAACAAATTGACTGTTTGTGAACTTGGAGGACATGTTCTATTTCTCTTAACAAAAGTTGCCTCCAGCTTAAGGTTACATTGCTTCCATCACAAATTTGAGGAAGGGGAAGAAAATGCTGAAATGATATCTTACACAATTATTTTCTTCTTAAATAGAGGGCAGTCCAAAGTGAACGTTTCATACTCTCCACCTTCTCCACAAACATGGACTCCGTACTTCTTAGAAAGCTGAAAATAGGGGAAAAAAAGAAAAAGAAAAAGAAACAGGAATCTTAAAATTAGTTAGCAAAAATGCTCACTTAACTTATTTCGTTCTAAAAAATATCTATGCCAGAAACTTTAATTCCAAAATAGATGGTGAGCTACAGGAAAATAGCTGTATATTTCTGCTTAAAATATGTGTTTAAAACCATATGAAAAATGTTATCATAAAGCATAGCATTTTTAATAATCACCAAACCTTTATAAAAAGATGTAAGGGACCAACATTTTTGTGTATAATGAGAAACCTTAAAGATTACTATAAAGTTTAGGAATGCCACTAGCTTTAGCTTCAAAGGGAGGCTAAGGAGGAAAGATACTAAGTAATTATGTAGTAAATGAGAATATATGCAGCCAAACTGTGCTTTCCCCTGCCCTTTGACCTATATGTAGAAGGGGAAAAATTGTTGTGTTTACAGCATTTCTCAGAGACACAGAGAACGTAATCTAAGGCCTTTCCTTGGGCCTGCACACACAAAGAAGTCATAAACATGGTTATTATGCTTAAGGTTATTATTAATAGTAAAGTTCCAAGGGTATGAAGAACTAATGAAGTTCCAACGCTGCAGACAAGCCCTAGGAAAGTATAACTCCCAGAAAGGTTGGGGTAGCTTATAATGTTGTCTGATTAAACCTGAAATTAAAACACACAAAAAAATAAGCAAAGAAACAAAAAAATTCCCTGTGCTTTGCACTGAATATAAGCTGTGTTATTTAGATGATTCTGATACTGACAGTAAAATCATCTCTTATCTGGTTGGTACATGGCTGGAATCAGTGCTGGGGAGCACTCTCACTGGCTGTGCCATAGAATCTTCCTGCTCTTGTGCGGAGGCTTTAGCACTATGATTCCATCTCTTTCATTCTGAATTTCATAGCTTTCCCTGCTTACAGTCTCTCCTAGCCCAAAGTCCTCATAGTCCAAAGGAAGAGCAACTCCACTGATGTTCTCTGTTACTGCCAGTGCTGGGACTGTGGCCCAAGCCTTTGGCTTTACCTGCACAGTTACACATTTACTTATTTGGTTATTTTTGTGGTTGTGCTACCATTCCAAATCCATTACATTTCAACTATTGACTACGTGCCCTTTGGGATTTAAAGCACACATCTATGAAAATTCTACTACTCCCTCTAAGGATCAATAGTAATATGGATGACCTGTAAAGCCAAACAGCAAGAAGAGTGAGGGAAAGAAAATGGGGTGGCATTTTCTATAAGAACTCACAAGAGCAAAGTAGATAAATGAAGCAGGGAATCAGCAAGGCAGAATTACGGCAGCTGGTCCTTATGAGAGCAGATAACAGGAATACATTACCGTAGTAAACCAAATTAAATTAATGTCTGCTTTGCAATAAAAAATGTAGGAATAATAATGGAATGTGGATTTCAGGGGTGTTTCCTTGTTCTGTCAGCTGGTGCCCAACCCCTTCTGTGCTGATCTCCCTTCACTGGTCTTCCCATTCTAGCAACTGTCTACCAAGTGAACCTTCTACTCTCACCTTTATGGACAGTCTTCTTATGTGGGAGTATACCTTAACAATCACTGGCTTCCTTTTATTAGAAAATGTTTCACTGACGCTTTGCAAAATTTCTATAATCTACCACCAAAGAATAACTGGATTTTTTAAAATTAAAGTTGGCATGGCTGTTATCCTACTGATATCCTTCTATTAGTCCCTAGTAAAAGTAATGCAAGCTGCTATGTTAACCCAACACAGTACTAGGAAATCTAGAATATGGATGCATCCAGTGATATTTCCAGTTCATGTAAAATATTTCCATAATATTCATCCAATCAGTTCTTCAACAAATATTTATTTAACAGTGATTATTTGGCAGGCCTTGCTAGATGAAAAAGATCCAAAAGTAAACAAGACAATGTCCCTGGTCTCCGGAAGCTTCCAAAATATACTGCACCTTATATTTTAATACCACAATATGATGAAACAGTGATGTCGCTTCTATAAATAATATGTGCAATCTCTTCTCCCCACTACTACTGGTTCACCAGCATGAACACAGATTCCAAGTAAAGAAATTTGGGTAAAGAGCCCAGTGGTTTTTATGGCTGATGCACCAAGAAGTAGTCTGTGAATCCTTAGGATGTCTTTTGTAGCCCCTCTAAACTCTACTAGCTTCAAGCTCTAGTAGAACCAAGTATCTAGAAAATTCGACCTTTATTGGCTGACTTTTAGCCAGTTCCAAGTCCCTTTGATGTCCTGAGAGACCTCAAGAAGCAAAGTTTATGCTAGCCACTTTCTTTAAGCCATTTTCTTTATCTAAGACATAGCACCCTGTTAGAAATCAACATCCTGGTAGCACAAAAGCATGAATGTATGCATGTGATTAAAAAAAGGGTCAGTTTAGGTAAGTAGAGAATTCAGATGTGTACATTCCAGAGACATATTTGTGGTACACAACATTCAATTTACTTTTCTAAAACATGTAGGCCAGTGTTACTCATATCTGCACTATTCACAGGAAGTAGTAACTTTATTCTAACATGTTTCAGGTCTCTGTTTGGGTTTCAACTCAAAATTAGCATTATTGTATGCCAGCACTTAATCACTCCAAATACAGTTTTTGCAGCTCACTTTGATAAGTTTCTCTGTCAATTTCATTGTAATGGAAAATACTAAATAGGTAACAGTTGGTTTAGTTTCTCACTGAATTATCATGATTCTTTCCATAATTTAAGTACAAACGATAGCAATCTATATTGAAAAATAAAAAATATTTTTCATATTGCTATTTGACCATTAAGGTCTAATGTCCATTAATGATTAAAATATTGTTAAATAGTTTCAGTTAGTATGTAAAACGTGGAAGTAGACAGTTGTTATCACCGTAACACCAAACATGCCAGATAGGCTACAAAGCCATGCCTTTGTGTTTTACCTACAGAGATCCGAGAATGCAAAGAAGTCTGGATGAACTAACTGCAGATCAGGGTATAAGCTGTTCCTAGATGAGTGAAGATCCATGGTCACTTTCCTAATGGGGGAACAGACAGAGTAGAAGCAAATCTCCATAGATGAGGGACGTCTATCAGCGTATACAAAAAGCCAAACTCTTATGGCCATCTGTGGACCTCTGTGATGGATTATTAGAGTCCTGAGGAGACCCAGGGAGTGTGTATAGCCAGTTCTTTTTCACAGTCTTAACTAAGTGTACACAGTAGCTACATGCAGAGAGCTAGGGCCAGGGCAGAAAAGGGGAGAGAGATCCCTTTGAGAACACCTGCCCATCAAGTCTTTTCTACTGAACTTTCACTGTACCAAGGACTGGTGACAGGCCAGGAAGACAGAGAGATTTCAGCCAAGACTTGGAAAGCCAGGGAGGAGGCAGGGAAAGGCCAAGAGCAGTAAGCCCTTGAAAAGGCAAAAAAACAAAACAAAAAACTGGTAGCAGGACTTTAAAGCAGGGGGATGGGGTAGGGGGGAGAAGGAGAGAGAGATCTCTAGACTCACTGGAGCACAGATCACGTGCTTTCAAAACATTTCAAACACGTAGCAAACTGAAACAACTCAAACCAGACCCAGCTCAACTGGAGATTAGACTAAAGAGAATAAACACCACAAACTAGCTGCCAGACAGAGGAAGGGGTGTGACTTTTCTGGAGTGAATATTTACTTCAGTCTCTACTGTTCTTTTTTATTCAATATCTACCATAATATATATAAAACAAATTAGATGAACAGTGAAAAAGTTAAAAATGTGACCTGCAATCAAGAGAAAAACAAACAAAACAGAAACAGACCCACACATTAACCAAATATTGAACCCAGTAGATAAGGACTTTAAACATAACTACTATAAATACATTAAAGATTTACTGGAAAAGACAGACAAAATTTATGAACAGAGAGTAAAACTAGGGATAGACAGCTGTAAGTTCATATTCTAGCTCCAGCACTTACTGAGTACTGGACCCAGGATGAATTGATTAAGTTATCTGAATTTCCATTTCCCTAGGTAATACCTGCCCTTCGGGGGATGTTGTATTAGAAGATATAATACATACAAAGCTTTTAACCCAGTGCCTAGTGCACAGGAAGCAGTCGACATATGTTATCTTTTCTCTATTAATTTGCTATCCCTTGGACCTTCTGCTCTTTATCTATATACTCCCATCTTTGAGGACCATGACCCCTACTATATCTATTACCTCTACTGCAAATGGCTCTCGAAGTGAAAACCCTAGCCATCAACCTCTCTCCCATGTATTTGCTCCCCCCATAACAAACGTTTATTGAGTGTTTTACTTGGGAGCATTGTTGCCTTACTTCAACGTGAATAAAACACAGTTCTTTATTTTTTCCTCAAAACCTTCTCTGCCTGCTCAATTTCTGTTCAATCAAGCTTAAAATAGGGGAGTAGAACTTAATTCCTTCCTTTCCTTCTGCCACACAGCCTACATTTTAAAATTTTCATGAATTCATTTATTGAATCTACAAATATTCACTCAGTACTTATTAAGTGCCAGATGCTCTTCTATACACTAGGCATATGGCAGTGAATGAGAAAATGTATGCACTCCCTTCCATTCTAACATCCTTACTGATCACTTTGCACTTGAACTATTACAATAATCTCTTGTCTTCCTGCTTTATATTCACCCCTCCCAATCTATCCTACATGTTATCAACACACTAACTTTCCTTAACAATATGAGATGGCATTCATCCACTCAAAAACTTTTGGTGTTTGACCATTGCCTATTCAATGGAAATCAAGCTCTGTAAACTGAGAGTCAAAGACTTCAGCCATTTGGTCCCAACATTCACAAGAATACCAAGACATAAAGCTAATACACTGAATGGGAAAATAAAGTAAAATAAAGATTCAAAAGAATCTTGATTGGCTGAAAAAAAAACCCAAAAGATTAAATCTTAAAAAGTGAAATATAATGTGATAAACATAAACCCCAACAGGCAATTTCCTTCTCTTCAACTTATAGAAATCAC